TTAGGGTTTAGGGTTCTTGTCAAGGGTTTTTTTAGGGTTTAGGGTTTAGGGTTTAGGGTTCTTGTTAAGGGGTTTAGATTTATATTTATGTTACCAGAATACGGATCTATACTAAATAAGATGGTTTCCTTGGTAGGGGTAAATTCCATAACAAGAGCCCAGCCTTTGGTGTTTCTTCTCTGCTCATGGCTTTCCAGTTTCGCGGCAGAGCTACTGCCGGGGATCTTAACCACTACTCGTGTCCATTTGTCTTCTTTCTGGTCATGCTTGTCGCCGTGCGATGATGGTGATGGTGAGGAGTCCTCCGTTTAAGTTTGGCCATGTTTAACGATGGCTGTTCTGACAACTTCGCTTACACTGTCGTGACCTTGGCTTGACGATGCCGCGGTGAAGGGAACTTGCAATTCTCGCCATATGAGCTTTCAGGATGTTTTGCACGGTTTATAGCAGCTTTCCAAGGAGCTGACAAGGATGGGAGTCTCACGTCTCTACTGGAGAGAGTCTAGAAGTCTAGGTTCAAAAGGAAAAAAGGGTACCCTTACGATTAAGGGGCTACTGGGGAACCTGGAAGTTGAGTGTCTAAGTTTGAGTCGCAGAATTTGTCGAGCCTCGAGCCGCTCTCTTCGCGTTAAGCACTCTTTTCAGGTGGCCACGTACAAGCGGTTCTGCGACACCTACCCCATTGCGCTGCTGGAGGCAGCAGGGTAGGAGCAGAAAGCGGTTTGATACTTCCTCTGTGGGGTCTCTTCCAAAGTGTATATGAGGCCCCATACGCTAAGCCCAAAAGCCCCCAATCCATGCAAACAAAAAGGAGCAACTAAACAAAACACAGAAGCACCATTCAACCACAAAGCGGCAACAAGAGGAGACACCCATGCCCACGGAATCTGCGCACCCGTACACCCTAAAACCCTAAATCCCTAAACGCCTAAACCCCTAAACCCCAACCCCTAAATCCCTAAACCCCTAAACCCCTACACCCTAAACCCCTAAACCCTAAACCCTTAAACCCTAAACCCCCAAACCCCCAAACCCCTAAACCCCCACACCCTAAACCCCTGTAAACCCTACACCCTAAACCCCTATAAACCCTACACCCTAAACCCCTATAAGCCCTAAACCCCCAAACCCTAAGCCCTAAACCCCTATAAACCCTACACCCTAAACCCCTATAAGCCCTAAACCCCCAAACCCTACACCCTAAACCCCTATAAACCCCTACACCCCTAAAACCCGAAGACAGACTTGCCAGGACCCTTTCGCCGAGGAGGACTTCGAGGGCCACTCGCAGCTCACTGCCTTAGTGGGCGACAAGGCACCCTTCGGTGGGGTTTAGAAGTTTAGGGTTTAGGGGTTAGCGGTGTAGGGATTTAGGGTTTAGGG